AATTTATCTATATATATATATTTAATTTCTAAACTTTTAAATAAAGAAACATAAAATGTACATATATTATAGATTGAGTGACTAAAAATGTGTATGAAATAGTTTAAGAATGAAAACTATGCAAAACTCTAAAATTGAGAAATTAAAATTAACATTTAAACTTTTACATTTTTGGGCTTGAGGTGAGGAAATAGGGAGGGGCCCCTGGCTGATTCTAGTGAACTCGTGACCCAGCTAAGGGAATGCCCCTTACTTGTTAGTGGTGGCGAGCCACTTGCCCTTGATGTGGTGGGACTATCAATTCATTAGGTTGACCAATTGAGTATTTTTCCTTTTTTTTTTTTTTAAGACAGTCAATGTAAACTGGTTAGCAGAACATGTGGAGCGGCACTGGCCCCGACCACTATTGATGACCAATATTCAGACTGTGGAGGAATGAAATTTGACCAAAAACCTTGTACATGGATGAAAATGACCAAACTGTAGACGTTGGTAATTAATGCTTTAATACAATTTTGTACTTAAATTTGGATTCCCAACTTTGGGTAAAAAATGACATTGATGTAATTATAATATTAAGGTATTTTCACTCTATTAAGTGCTTCGAATAAAAAAATTATTCATATAATATATAATATTGTAATATATTATTTTTAATTAAAAAACCAAAAAATATGATGATAAAAATTTTAAAAAAAAATTTAAAAAATAGCTGCCAAGTACCGTTGAAATAATAGCAGGAATGGTTGGCGAAAGTCCAAAGTCCAAGGTCCAAGGATGACCAAAAAGAGAAATTTACAAATAATGAAGCAAAAGTATTAAAGCAAACAAATTCATGGGTTAAAACCCTAAAAACATGAGAAAGAAAGTCCCTTGTTGAGAAGATCTCAGGAAAGTTATTTCGTTACGAATTTACAAATCTAACCCCACAATTCTTCCCTAACCACAAACCAAATCTCAAATTCATAATGTAATTCAGATAAACTCTGAAGGTCATAACCGCCATTCAAAGATAAAAACTTCTCAGAAAATCAGCCTTGGGCATGAAAATTAGATCAATTTCAAGGACTGACTTACAAAATTCGACTAACAACACAATCATAATATCTGCCGCAAGAACTTCATTCCAAATCCACTGAAACTACAGAAAAAAAAAAATGATTTGCAACCCAAAAAAATAAAATTTTAAAAATAAAAATAAAGTTTGCAGGTATCCATCTCCATCCATCCATCCCTCCCTTTCCTTATTTACTCCAAATTAATATATATATTTATTTATTTATTGTTTGCAAAAATTGGAGGGTCAGATTCTATTCTTCGGACATAGATTCCTCTGTATTTTCTTCTTCTCCAACTTCCTTTCTAACCGTATTTCTGGTTGTTCAAGTGTTGCAAAAGTCTTTACTGTCTGCCGCCGACCCAATACTTTGGAGCGGTTGTAAGAGTTATTGGATTGGAAAAAATGTCTCAGACCAACTGGGAAGCTGATAAAATGTAAGTCTCAATACGAAATTTTCTTGGATGGCTTTTTTGGAGCTGGTTCGATTTATTTTGTATGGTGGTTTTATTTTTTCTGTTTGATTTGGGTTATGGGGTTGGAGTTTCTTGGTTTTGGATGTTCTTATGTAGTGTTTTGGATTCAAAGTTTGGTTCTTTGGAGCTCTTCGATGTTAGGGTTTGTTTTTGTGAGTTATGGGGGTTCAAATTGCTGTTTAATAGTTGCTGCATTTCTCTTTTTGGTTTTTCTCTGCTCTGGGTTGTGTTCTCTTTGTTGATATCAGCATTCTTTGTTAGGCTTATTTCGTTCTCATTTGTATGTGGAAAGTGGAAGATGTGCTGTCTTTTTTTTGTGGGTAAGGTGTTGGTGACTTGGTGGTGATGGTGGTGGTTGTTTTATGTTATTAGGTAGTTGTTTTTTTTATTGAATTAATCAAATAAATCTCTAAATTTATGGACTGGGGTTTTGTTTTCAGTTTATTGTTCACTGCTGGGTTTCTGTGAAATCTATCTATTATGTTGTGAAGTTTCAATTTTTCTGTCTAATGAGTGATGCAATATGGTCTCTTGCTCAAATAATAGGTTGGACGTGTATATCCATGATTACTTAGTAAAAAGGGATTTAAAGGCTTCTGCTCAGGCTTTCCAAGCTGAAGGAAAGGTGTCATCAGATCCCGTTGGTAAGTACCATAGTAGATTCAGAATTCATGATAAAGCAGAAGACAAGTATTTAAGATTTTTCTCCCCTCACTGGAATACTTTTGTAGTTTTAAGGAAAATTTAACATTGCACTCATGTTGATTTTGACTTTGGTTTTCAGCTATTGATGCACCTGGAGGTTTCCTGTTTGAATGGTGGTCTGTCTTTTGGGACATATTTATTGCCAGGACAAATGAGAAGCATTCAGAGGTTGCTGCATCATATATTGAGGTTGGGCATAAGTGTATTTTCATCTTGATTATGATAAGCTTTCAATCTGCATTTAGGGTATCAATTTCACCACACAAGTTTCATCGCTGTGAATATTCTAGATTGGTCCTCCTACCACCAATGATTCCTTTTCAATAGATCCTTCAAACTTAAATTTGTGCAGAATGATTGATTTGAAGGTTAAGTCTTTTTCTTCCTTTTTGTTATTAAATGCTGATATGAGATGCTATCTGAATAGATTCTTGAAAACATTTAAGGATTGAGGTCTTCCATAGTTGAATTGAATGAAATTCACCATGTTAGAAAAGGTTCTCATTCCTAACCAAGAGATTAGAGATGCTTTTGTGTCAACCATTGTTTAAGTTAAAATGTTAATGTTTGTCTTAAGAGTGGGAGCTTCTTAACCTTTTTGAATTGCCAAGTATTGATGACGGAGAAGGCAATAAGCTTTGCTATGGTTTCTATTGAATTGATGTTATATAACATGGGAATCTTAAACTATATTGTATTCTAGACGCAGTTGATTAAGGCAAGGGAGCAGCAGCAACAGCAGCAGCAACCTCAACAGCCACAACATCAACAGCAACAACAACAGCAGCAGCAGCAGCAGCAACAGATGCAGATGCACCAGCTCTTGTTGCAGAGACATGCTCAGCAACAAAAACAACAACAACAACAACAACAACAACAACAACAACAACAACAACAACAGCAACAGCATCAGCAGCCCCAGCCCCAACAGCCTCAGCAGCCGCAGCAGCGGAGGGACGGGACTCATGTCCTTAATGGCACCACAAATGGGCTTGTTGGGAATGACCCTCTTATGCGGCAGAATTCTGCAACTGCCAATGCCTTGGCTACAAAGATGTATGAGCAAGGACTAAAAGTGCCACTTCAGAGGGATTCTATGGATGATGCAGCTATGAAGGTAGATGATTATTTTGTCATTATAGAAACGGATCTCTGTTTAGATTTTAACTGTCCAAGGAACTTCTTGCAGCAAAGGTTTGGTGAGAATGTTGGCCAGCTTTTAGACCCAAACCGTGCCTCAATATTGAAGTCAGCTGCAGCTACAGGCCAGCCTTCGGGGTAGTTCTCTCATATAGTTTGCCTTACATTAATTCTGTACTTCAAGAATCATTAGTGCAATTTGTCTTATAAAGATAATGGAAAATGTCTTTTTATGAACGTAGAGTCACAAAATTGAAAAATTCTTATATTTAGTGTAATTTGTGGTTGTCTATGATGAAGTGAATTGCTCTAATATGGCTTTGATTGCGTCTTGGCAGGATGGTCATTTAGGATCTATTTGTGGATGCTTCTGAATTTTAATCACTACTGAGATTTAACTTATTATGCCAAAATCTGAAGCGTTTTAACAATTGAAAATTATTTAAAATTTCAGACAAGTGTTACATGGTACAGCTGGTGGAATGTCTCCACAAGTTCAGACTCGGAATCAGCAACTGCCTGGAGCCACACCGGTAGGATTTTAACACAGTATTCATCTGTGACCTCTCGCTTGCTCTTTTGTTATCATGCTCTGAAATTTATATAGAAGCAGGAAATAAAGAGTGAAATCAATCCAGTATTAAATCCCAGAGGTGCAGGTCCTGAAGGATCATTGATAGGAATTCCTGGTATTGCTTAAGCATAGTTTGCAAGTTATTCTGATTTGTTTCTTTTTAAGAAAAAATTCATTCTAGAAGTAATCTAAATTGATATCATGTATCTTTTAGGATCAAATCAAGGTGGAAACAATTTGACTTTGAAAGGATGGCCGCTAACTGTAAGTTCTGCTTGGTTTTCTTCATCATTGTAGTTGTCTTGTATCTTTTGAGAAAATAATTTATCCTATTTAAGTGCATTTTGACAAATAAATTTCTAATTTGATTGAATAATTTCTTCTTCTATTGGTTGCATTTGCATTATTGAACTTACAATTTTCATCTAATACATTATGTTTATTTTGAATAGTTTAGAATTCTTTTCTTTTCTTTTCTTTTCCTTTTTTTGGGACTGGACCAGGTTCGGTCTGGGCTTCTTCAGCAACAGAAACCTTTCATACAGGCACCTCAGCCCTTTCATCAACTACAGATGTTGTCACCACAACACCAGCAACTCATGCTTGCTCAGCAAAATTTAACATCACCAGCTGGTAGTGACGAAAGTAGAAGACTGAGAATGCTTTTTAATAATCGAAATATAGGTCTTGCGAAGGATGGTCTTTCAAGTTCCATAGGCGATGCGGTTGCAAATGTTGGATCCTCCTTACAACCTGCTGGCCCTATGCTGCCTCGTGGAGATCCTGATATGCAAATTCAGGTACTAGTATCTCTTCATTGTCCTTTAATTGGCATTTTAGGTTGTTAAATGGTATTTTGTCCTTTCCACTAGACATTACTTAATTCTGTAAATTTTCTGACCTTTGTCTTTCTCTATAATTGTTTGTAGTTAAAAATGGCTATGCAACAGCAGCAGCTGCTGCAACAGCAACAAAATCCACAACAGCAGCAGCTTCAGCAGCATGCACTCTCAAATCAGCCACAGATTTTAAATCCCAGCCTCCATCAACAAGATAAAATGGGTAGTGGTGGGAGTGTCACTGTTGATGGTAGCATGTCGAACTCTTATCGGGGAAATGATCAGGTCTGTCCTTTTCTGGTTAGCTTGATCTTCTTTGTGAATGCTAAAGTTGATCTAGTGGTTGGTCTTCTTCCAATATTAGCAGTTTTTTGGTGATGTTACTGATGCTTTGTCAGTGTGATAGTAAAGTTCTGCTTCCTCTTTCCAATACTAGTGCTGTTCATATTGAAACAATTAAGAGTGGATCAAAAGGTTTAATATATTTTTTAGCTTATACTCAAGATTTCAGAAAAATAGTTTATGGCCATGGTGTTCTTTTCATTTTCAAGATGGTGGGTTTTGACTTATTTTTTCTGGAACTTTGCGAATTGTTAGTGGTTAGTTATACATTGTTACTGAGTTCTGATGCATACTCAAGGAAATAAGGGGGAAGATTTCTAACATAATTTCCCTTAAATTCATTTTAAGGTTTTGAAAAACCAGACTGGGAGAAAGAGGAAACAACCAGTGTCTTCTTCAGGCCCTGCTAATAGCTCAGGAACAGCAAATACAGCAGGACCTTCCCCAAGTTCAGCACCATCAACTCCATCGACACACACTCCTGGAGATGTGATCTCGATGCCTACTTTGCCACATGGTGGTAATTCTTCCAAGCCTCTAGTGATCTTTAACACTGATGGAACTGGCACGCTTACATCACCATCAAATCAGTTGGTGAGTAAAATAATTCTTGAATTGGTCAGCAGAATTAGAGGTTCCTTGTTTAGATTCTTGTTGGCATTCCATTTTGGCATTGAGATGACAAAGATGTTGAATTGCAGACTGAAATAGATCGATTTGTGGAAGATGGATCTCTGGATGATAATGTTGAGTCTTTTTTATCCCATGATGATGCAGACCCTAGAGATACTGTTGGACCTTGTATGGACATCAGTAAAGGTGCACATATGGATTTCCCATATTGATTTATTTTAGAAATATTTATAAACAGCATTGCCTCAAGCACTATGTCAACAATTCATGTTGCATATGCAAGTAGCCATGGGTAGGTATGGTCCCATCAGCACTACGATACAAAATATTATGATTTCCCATCTAAAATTAATTGTTGATACTTACAAAGTTCTGACTTTAGTATCAAGTTACAATAGAAGGAAGATTACTAAAACAATGTGGTAACACCAATACTTAATAGTTCCTCTATGTATATAGCCCAATAGAACATTTGAAATAAATGCATGTGGATATAAAAATGAAGTGGTAAATAACAAATGGAGTGACAAAGTCCTTGATGTGATATCATGCTATGACATTCAACCCAAAAACAAATATGATTCTAATTCCAAAGTTTTCATGCTGGTCTTGCTTTGTAACAAACAGAATCTGAACTTGTATACAGGGTTCTCATTTACGGAAGTTCATTCTGTTCAAGCAAGCTCGAGCAAAGTTACTTGTTGTCACTTCTCATCAGATGGAAAGTTGCTTGCTAGCGGTGGCCATGACAAAAAGGTGAGTTAAGTGAATGGAGTCTTGTGTACGTGGAGATGCCATTGTCGTTTTGATTTGCTCCATATCTGGAATTTTTGGCAATGCTCTGTTAGATTAAAATGTGAAATTATTTGCCTTTTGGTTTCTATGATGCAGGCTGTGTTATTCTTTACAGATACCATGAAACCAAAGTCGACACTTGAAGAACACTCATCCTACATTACTGATGTCCGTTTCAGTCCTAGCATGCCACGCCTTGCAACATCTTCATTTGACAAAACTGTCAGGGTTTGGGATGCTGACAATGTTAGTAGACATTTTCCTATTGTTTTAGCTTTCACTTCTTTTACTTATAGTTATGAGTGAACCACCCCACCCCCTTCTCATGTGCACACACTTTTACCAACAAATTCATTACTTACTAGTGCTATTTGTATGTGCAAGTTGTTATTAGGCTTTTTCATTCCTTCTTCTTCATTCTTATTATTTTATTTTATTTTATTTTTTTAACTCAAGGATTGTTCTCTGGTTGTAGTAACTACCATACAACATTTAAAACTCTGCTGATGTAGGTAAGCTAATAACAATATATGTTAAAAGCTGGATCAGTTATTGTGGTTTGGGTACTAGATTTTTGTAATGCTGTTGATGCAGTTGGCATGTTGAATGAGTTGCATATAATGATCCCACATTTTTTAACACGGTAGAAATGATGTATAAAGATTCTTGGTCTTTTGATCAACAGAAATATGCTGTTAGTTGCCATGAGCAATCTTTTATTGTTGATAATGAATTAAGTCTTACATGTTTTTTTTTTTTGATCGGCAATTAAGTCTTACATGTTAATTACTAAATGCCCTATTTCTTTGCAAATTATCTCTCTAGAAAAAGCCTGAATGGCTTTGCACCATTGTCTGTAATATAATATGAGCTGCAATCATGGTCTGATAACTTTGTTGCTCATGTATTTTGAATTTGCTGGCTTGGTGCTACTCAAATGTTGGAACTTTACTGTGCTTTGAGAATCTAGGAGTGCACTCAAACAAAGAACTGTTTATAAAACAATACCTGGTACATCATGCCTACACTGTGAGGTACTATTTTTGGCAATAAAGTAGATGAGAAAATAACATAAAGGTTTCTCCTGATCTTAGTGGCATCAATTTTCTATCATTTGATCCCAACATTTACTCATCAATGAGTTTTTGAGATGTGTAAATTGAGCTTCTCTTGTGCTTTCAATCTTCTTGCTGAAGGTATGAAAAGGTAGATAAAAATTGGCATCTTCTTTAAAGTTCAATGCTCTAGAATGGAACTTTATGAGTCTGATCCTGAAATCCTTTGAATTACTAAGTATCATCTGCTTGCATGTGGCTTGGTGTGTAATAAGTTGTAGTATGGGCTATTACTTTGCAGCATACTGTTAGACATGCTGCATGCTTGCTTTGAATTTCTGTTTCTTTGGCATATTCTGGTAGACCACTTGACTTAAATTTTTGGTTGAGACTTGAGAGTGTTTCCTGTATTTGTTTGACTTTGTTTAGGACTTTTTCTGCAGCCTGGTTATTCACTTCGGACCTTTGTGGGGCATCATGCTACTGTTATGTCACTTGACTTTCACCCAACTAAGAACGATCTCATCTGTTCTTGTGATAGTGATGGTGAAATAAGATACTGGAGTATTAACAATGGTAGCTGTGCAAGTGTTTTCAAGGTATGATTTTGTGACAGCTGTGCTTATTATGAAGATAAATTCAGGCCTCCTCTTTAGGAATTGATTCATTGTTTTTTTGATATATTTATATATATATTCTTTTTTCCACTTTAGGGTGGTATGGCTCAGTTGAGATTTCAACCTCGCCTTGGGAAGTTCCTTGCTGCTGCCGCAGAGAATGTTGTATCTATATTGGATGTGGAGACAAAAAGCTTGCGGCATTCATTACAGGTGTGTTTAACAATATGAACAGAATACCACTAAAATAAGGGGGAGAAAAACAAGAATGGGAAATGAAACTAAACTCATAAGAATTATTCAAACTAATGGTTCACATCAGGGGGAGGAAAGATAGGAATGCATATATTTGAGACATCAATGAAACTCCTCTGGTTCTTATTTTAATATCTGAGAATTTCTCGTTTCTCTTTTTATTATCAAAGCATTTCAGTTGTTGAAAATGTGAATAAAATTGGCTTTTGTTAGGGCATAAAATATGCTCTTCTAATGTATGCAAAAAACTTTAATGGTGGTACACTTTTGGGAGACTTAAAATGGAGTAATGTAGATTTTCTGTTTGACTGCTAATCTCACTAAGGGTCTTTTGCTGAAAGACTGCTCCCAACGGGTATAAATTTGGAGGAATGGCAGTTGTAGGTTTTGACAAGCCAAGTATGGCCCATCGTTAGCTCTCCTTCAAATGTCCTAAGTAGGCAACTTTGGGATTTTTTGTTTAATTCTTTGTAGGTGTGTTTAAAATGGTTCATTTTATGTGCTTTCTCTATTAGTGCATGGCTGATTTTCCTGTAAATTTGTGTGTGTACTTAACAGGGCCATACTAAACCTATCCATTCAGTATGCTGGGACCCTTCAGGCGAGTTTCTAGCCTCCGTTAGTGAAGACTCTGTTAGGGTATGGACATTTGGATCAGGCTCTGAAGGAGAATGCATTCATGACTTGAGCTGTAACGGCAACAAGTACCACTGTTGTGTTTTTCATCCTACTTATTCATCATCATTGCTGGTCATTGGGTCTTACCAGGTAAGTTGTTTCCTTCCTGTAGCCTTTTGTAAGCAGTCATGCGAAGACATCCATTATCATGCTGGGAGCTTCTTTACATGATTTTGAGTTATGTTTACTTCTTGCTTGGCAAAGTCATTTTTTCATATTGCTAGTCTTCAATTTGTTTCTGAGCTGCAACTTTGGATGCTGAGTGCAGTCTTTGGAGCTCTGGAATATGGTTGAGAACAAAACCATGGCATTGACAGCACATGAAGGATTAATTGCTGCACTGGCTGTATCAACTACAACAGGGCTGATTGCTTCTGCTAGTCACGACAAGTTTGTCAAATTGTGGAAATAAATCGTGGAAATGATTGTTGTTTTCAGAATCCCCTAGTAACAACAGATGCAACACAAGATTAGGGTTTTTAATTAGCAATGATTGTAGTTTGTTGCTTCCATCTGGTGTTCTGTTCATCATGACCCCAATTCCCCAGCATCTAACCTGTCTTGTTGTATTATAGATTATATAGTCTACTCTTAACTTTGATATTCTGGGTTATTTGTGGACTCTAAATGTTTTGTTCCCATGAAGAACATTAGCATGCTTCTCATTCTCCCCTTAAAGGAAGAACTTCCATATTTGCGTTGGTTGCAAATTCAGTGTGTGTTGTAGGCAACAATGACTTTTCTGTTATGCTTACTCTGAGAACGGAAAGGGGCCTTTGTTGAATGCGACAACTAGGCAAAAATGCAACATCTATACATCAGTCTCTCAAGTCTCACCCATTTTTTTATAGAGTACAAATTTCAACATTCTATTTCAATGAATAAACATAATAATAATCATTCAGCATTTGAACAGCAAATACTGAAAACTCTTCGACGTAAAATTGTTATACAACACCATTGCTGGCTTGAAATTTTGATTAGTGAAATGATCAACCGAGACGTCGGATGGTTCTCTTGTAAATTACTCATTCCATGCCTATTTTTCTCGTCATTGTTTGACTGTTCACGTATTTTCAAGTAACGCTTTTATTATTACTAAATGAATGAAAATCTAATTCTTGGTAAATACTAGTTCTATATTTCAAAAAAAAAAATTTCGATTGTTATTGCTGCTTCTTTTTTTTTTTTTTTTTTTTAAAAAAGCATTAATTAAAAATGCATGCAAAATCAAAGTGTGACAATAAGTTCTGCTTGGTTTTGTCTCATCGTCATACTTGTTCGTTGGGAACGGAGCTAGAAATTTAAGTTAGGGGCACAAAATTCTAAAATTTTTTATGAGTCATTTAAGTTTTATTTGATCATATTTTGTATAAAACCTTTTTTACAACTTTTATAAAAATGTAAGTTTGTTATAAGTAATTAATATTTTATATTTGGTCAAAAAATTAATATTTTATATACTTTTAGTAATTTTAATTAATATTTATATATTTGTGAGATATTAAAAAATAAA